TTACCAGAACAGGACACACCAGCCAGGCCAACATACGTGCCAGAGTATACACCATTCCTTGTGGCAGATGCGACAAATAAGAGAGGAAACTTAATACAAGCTAAACACCCGTATACCTGTAAGACTTGCACTACCAACAATACATGTGTTGTTTGTCGGGATAAACATGTAAAATTATGCATGGCATTGGCATGGTGCCAAGCTTGTCAGCAAGGGAACAAGGCCAGATGTCTTGTTAGAAAGCCTTGAAACTGAACTAAAGGGCATTTAGCTAAGCTAAACATTTGCACACATGGTGTACAGAGACAGCTGCTAAGCCGACATCAGCCGGCATTTCTGCCTAATTGACCAATGCACCTGACGCAGAGCTCCACTACCCAAGATTCGTCACACTCAAATGATTTCAATCACCTCATCTTAACAGGGATCTCACCAGGCATCTCTTCTCCTATGATACTCACATATTTATACCTTCTGTGTGAATTAACAAAACTCACCGAGCAAAACGTTGTCCCACTTAAACCGTGTTCTGCAATACGTCTTTTCTTCGCTATTGTTGGCAATACGTTATTTGCATCCGCAAGGCTCTCACCCCATCATCTGCCCCCTCCCCACCATCCCTCTTTCCATTTTTCCCTTGGATGGGACAGGTCGTCCAGACAGATGGTAATTCTTCAGTAATAGTAACTCCAACTCTGATGGAAGTAAATTCTTGAAGATCCCGTAGCTGGAATACTTGACGACTTAGTCATTGCCCTACTGAAGCCTCCCAGCTCAGGCTGACACATTTCAATCATTTATGTGACCCATCCTGTGCGACAATATGACATGAAAATATAGTGTTAGCTTTTGTTCCCACTAAGTAGCTGTCATATTGAACTGGGTACTAGCAAACTGCTGATGTATTCAGTTTCGCTAAAAAAAAAAAAAATCCATTATTCTTCCTCTATCATCCTTCTCCCTACCATCCACTTCCCGCCAGCCCTCACCCCGCCAGCCCTCGCCCCGCCAGCCCTCGCCCCGCCAGCCCTCTCCCCGCCAGCTTTCAAACTAACCAAATAATCAATTATTGGCAGGGATCGATAGATAAAAATACAGGCTTCCATACTCTCTTCCTCGAGGAACAGCGCTCACATCCCAGTTCTTTGTCCGCATCCTCATATCTGACGAGATTAGAATTTGCACGAAAGTGATATCCATTGAAGCCACATCAAATCTCCATGGTATAAACCGGGTCTTCAAGTAGGCCAGTACTGTGTCATTCACTGGAGCAGAGAAAGAATGTGATTACGCCAGATATTACATTTAACTATCACAGTTTTACCATCACAACTGCAATGAAAATGACAGGCTGGAAAAACTAAAACCTTTAAAATCAGAAATACCAAGCCAATGATGACACTGTTTAAGTTATTTGTTCTCCCTAGACTGGAATATTTCTGATAAAAATTAGACACATGTGCAGCATCTGGGTATCTTTACTGTAGATGTTTCGCCAACCAGTGGCTTTATCAATACAAAATCAAGGACATAATTGGAAGACAGAAGAACTATATACAGAAGAATATTTCTGGACGCTAGGAGCTCCTTTCATGACAGACGCAATGACAGCTCAGAAGAATGTACAGGAAAGTTTCACCGCCCATTCAAATTTAACTACATAAATTACTGGGAACACAATTAATGGATAAATGCAGATATCGGTTACTGACTGCAGAAAACCAGTGAAGCTTGAATCTACTGGAATGTCTCGTGGTACTTGCAATTTACTCTCAGGAGCAAAGACGAGATACCCGATAATATCTGCATAAAAGAAACTTGAAGACCTTGTTCAAAGTCTGCACACTACCATAACAACGTACCTGACCGAAAGATAAGGTTGGTACTGCAAAATAAATACAGTGAAGAGTTGAGTCTCCATGAGCACAATAGTTCCGCGATCCAAGATTATTCAACCTGGAAAAAGCAGATATCAGAAACGTTGCCGGAACAAGTGTAGAGGTTTTTAAGAAGAGAGTGGATCAGTACCTCCGCCAGGTGCCATTTCAACCAGGCTGTGATGATCTGTGGGCTAGCGGACCGCTAACAGCAACAACCTGGTTGAAGAAGCAGTCAGCAACCCTGGTCCCAGGCTGGGCTGAGAGACTAGAAAAACTCTGGAAATCAGTCATAGATACATCACAAATATAAAGCATAATATCGTGAAATACACACATACACACACACACATACAGACCAATAGCTGTGACACGACCCCGGCAACCACACATATAGGTGAGTACACACACACACACACACACACACACACACACACACACACACACACACACACACACACACACACACACACACACACACACACAAAGAGTAACTATAACTAGAGCTGAGTTAATAAACCAAGAGAGTTAGCCAAGACTCAGTAGTTATGCCAACATAGTTAAACGTGGTCAGCGTAAGTCACTAGACCCATCCTCGACCACTCTGAAGGTCGTTAGCCACTAACTACCCAATTATCGATTGCAATACTTATTGACTTTGCGTTAGGGACTCGACAACACTGTGACTCGCACACGTTCACTGTGACTCCCACACGTTCACTATGACTCCCACACGTTCACTGTGACTCCCACACGTTCACTGTGACTCCCACACGTTCACTGTGACTCCCACACGTTCACTGTGACTCCCACACGTTCACTGTGACTCCCACACGTGACTCCCACACGTTCACTATGACTCCCACACGTTCACTATGACTCCCACACGTTCACTATGACTCCCACACGTTCACTATGACTCCCACACGTTCACTATGACTCCCCATTATGCCACGTATTGATCATTCAATGGTCGTCACCACAATTATGGCAGTGGTGGAAATTATTGATTTTAATTATATTAGCGATAAAAATGTATTTATGACGATAGTAAAGAAAGTGATGATAATGATAATGCTAAAAGATAGTGGCTGTAATGATACTGAGAGTGATACTGATAATACGTGTGTGTGAGAGAGATAGAGAAGTGCAATTTCTCTCTCCCTGTCCGTATAGTACTCTCACACCCAGAGTATTCTTCTTCTGTAACACATTACTGAGTTTATAATTGTAGTCTCTCTCAATATTCTGTAGCTTCTTTTGTTAAGTTCATTCTTTTTCTTAGGGGAGCACCAGACTACTACTACTACTACTACTACTACTACTACTACTACTACTACTACTCCTTTTTCTCCTCCTCCTCTTTTCCCTTTTCCCTTGAAATAATTTCTTTTCAATCCTCCCTTATTCTCGATTTTAGTACAACACCTCCCATTTTCCCCAGGTGCTGTATGACCCGTACGGGGTCTAGCGCCTCCACAAGAAGGGCTTACCTAGCAAGGCCCAGTAGGCCTGCCGCAGTGCTCTTCCATTTTTTTTTTTTAGTTTTTTTCGTCGAAGATGCTAATTTATTGTGGGTCCAATATCCATCATGTGGAAGGTAGCGCAAAAATCGTATGAATACAAAATAGCCGAATGGATGACTAACCCTTCTGAACACCAGACCAAACTGACGATGATTTGCTGAAAAAATGTCTCGCTTACCATTAGAAATTTTGAGTAGTAGATTATTATTATTATTATTATTATTATTATTATTATTATTATTATTATTATTATTATTATTATTAACTAGTATTATTATTATTATATTGGTATTTATAGAGTAAAAAAGTTGAAAGCATTCTTAGAAGTCTGTTTAGGCAGTCAATAACTCTTCCGTTTTTTTTTTAAATGGGATGGGTTTTTAGGACTTGCATGTTAATTGTAACTATTAATTCCCCAGAAGCAAAATTAATGACTCACTGGCAATAATAATGAATCTTTATTGAAGAAATAAAAAAAAATATTAATACAGTTGCTTGTATGTATTCATTTTTTTTTACTATTAACAAAATACAACATAGGTTAAAATAAATGAAAGCCATTTAGAAAGCCTGATCAAAATATTGTCAATAATGAAAAAAAGATAATTGGAAAATGACATCATTTATCATTACCTTATAAGTAACATATGAAATGTTGCATTAAAATTATGAAACGTAAAATATAAAATAAAATATCAAATATAAAGAAAATAATAATTCTTTGTGAGATTTTTTGTTGATCTAATGGTAAGAGAAATTTTTATATCAGGTTTGTGTTTGATTATTTTGAGATTATACACCACAAATTTCATCAGTAAGTCCACTTTAATCAGACTAGCCAAACGTCATCGCTGAAAACAATGTCTCACGTCAATATATGTTAATGTCGCCATGACTGAAATATTTCAGTAATGGAAAATACCAGTGTTTCAGAATTTAATTTTCTGGAGATTTTCTGCGATGATCCGGTCACCAACAACTCTCTTAGTATTTTCAAGTTTAGCTCTTTTAAGTCGACAAATATTTGCCTCCAAACTGGGGCAGCTTTGTAAATCAGTTGCATCCCAAAAGTATCCAAAGGTATCCACTGCATCCATTGCATATTCAACTTATCCAACGTTGCAATGTCTGTGCACTTGATAAATTTTAAAGTTTCTTTAGATGATGTTACGTTTGGTTGGGTCAGACTATATTTATTTCCAACATATCTTGTTTTTTTTTTTTAATATGGCGGGAGAAAAAGATGGTCAGAAATGAGATTAAGAAAATCTTGGGGCGGCAGTGCATGCCGCGTGCCAACGATTTTTTCTCGCTTGTCACCTTAGGCACAGTGTCATGGTCCGGCACTCCTGTATCTAGAAACCAGGCCCCAAAAGGGGCCGAGGGAATTTAGGATATTTGCTAATTAACTGGAGTGCATGTGGTGAGAAAGAGACAGTTTCAGAGATGAACTTCATTGAGACGTTTAGCCTGCGAACAGGATTCTTCACTCTCAGTAAAGTCCCTCACTGCAACTGTGTCTTTCTCAATCGGCTTTGCGCTGTTCATCTCTAACTGGAGGACATCGTGTAACCTGAGATCGTCTTCTCCCCGGCAGGAAAGAGCTTCAACCTGTCCATCATCATCAGCACGGCGCCCATGCAGATGACCACTCTCACGAAAGCCATCAAGGTGACGGTGGACGGGCCCAGGGAACCACGTAACAAGTCACGTGAGTGGATAGTGGGTAGGTGGATGGGTGGAGAGTGGTGGGTGAATGCGAGTGGTGGGTGGATGGGTGGTGAATGAGTGGAGACTGGGAGATTGGTTGATGGATGGGGAGGGGGAGAAAGGTGGATGGATGGGTGTGGTCATTGCAGACCATAAAATAAGGTCAGAACCTATAATAAGGACATTAGGGGAATGACTACTCATTCTAACAAACAAAACACAAAAAAAGTGTTTAGTAAATCGAACAAAATCCAGCATTAAACAAGTACAATAGTGAGTACCCCAAGGCACGGTCCTTGCACCTTCCTTTATTTTCTAATTCTCATAGCGCTCTTACGCCTGAAATACTATTCTGTGCCTACATTTACTTTTGTGGTGGGAGAAACATCAGAGCTGGAAAATCTACAGAGATTATTTATTGTTAGAACAGTCATAAACTATCTAAACTGCTGGGAACTCCTCAGAATAATCGGAATACTGCCGGAACAAAACTACAGATTTTCGAAAGGAAACTGGACCACTATCTCCTTCAAATTATTATCAGCCGGATTATGATGTGCTATTTGGACCTGCTGGTAGTTAGCACAAACAGCGTGGTTGAGCGGGACGATCAACAAGCTGTTGATCGCCTTGTTGTCTCGTAGTCCTGGGTTAGAGCTACGAGACAGATCGTAGATATGACACAGGTTTGTAACCTCAAGAATAGAAATGAGTCAGGCATTTAGTCATATATACACGGAAAATACTTGACCAGGTCCCCAGTCCGCACAGCACCACAGTAATATACTGGAGTGAGAGATATGGAAGAGAAGTGAAGAATAAACCAAGTGAAAAACAGAGGTGCCACTGGCACTAATAAAGAACATGCAATGTGAGACACCTCAAGCTTGTAGCAGCAGATCTAATATTGCCGCCAAAAATGGAAAAAAAATTTTTAACAGGAAACTGGACCACTAATTATCCTTCTTACCTGAAGGATGATTCTGAGCGTCAACGACCTCGCGGCCCGGTCCCAGACCAGGCTTCCCGTGGCTCAAAACTTGATCAGCCAGTCAGTTACTGCTGACCCCGCGCAGTCCAACGTACTAACCACAGCCCGGCTGGAGATTTCAACTTTCCAAATGTTAAATGAAAGATAGTAGCCAGAAGCATTATTCCGGACCTGGAACCTGGAAGCACATTGGCCCTGAGACCTATTGGAGTTCTGTGAAAAGTTTGGTTTGAATCAACAGTTAACAGAACTTGCTGTAAATGAAAATACACTAGACTTGATGTATGACCATCAAGTCTAGTGTATGACCAGTGTATGAACATTTAAATTCAGAAACAAAGTTTGTAAATTATAAAAATATAAATGTTTTGCGGAAGAAGTCGGAAAGGACAAAAGAAGAACGTAAAACATAAGAAAAATGGATACCGAAGGAAGGAAAGGTAATCTTAACCGAGAGAATACTGACACAGAGCAGAAAGTAACACGTTTACACGAGACGGGAGAAACACGAAAGGAGCAAAAAACCGTCCACGATATTGTAGATCTTAAATTCTCGTATTTCCATACATATGTAAAATCCAAGTCAAGATCCATCTACAGGACTGACTCATTACTCACGAAAAGTTCAAATAATGACGACAAAAAAAGATATGAAGAAATTTTAAAAGATCAATATGAATTAGAATTTGGTAAAGAATTAAACGAAAGTGGACTAGACGGATAGTTTTGCATTATCTCTGATTGCAATACAAATCATATATTTGACACAAGCATTTATCATTACCTTTAATATATCGGATTTCGGATCCCGGCCTAGAGCCAGGCTTGTCTGATGCATGCATGGTGAACCAGATTGTTGCTGCTGGCGTCCGCTTCCCCTCCGTTGCGGACTATACCAAAACAAGCATCAAAGTTGCCTCGCTTAAAGACACAAAAAATTTATGAGCAGATATCCACAAAATCTTACAGTGGACAATAGACACATTCCAACTGCTGAAATATGGAAAGAATTAAAATCTTAATAACAACAATAGATAAAAAAAAATACAGAAGGACAATTTCACAGAACTAAAGGGCATAGCAGTATCTGATGACATATCATTTAAAGAACACAAAGCAAATACCGTGAAGCCGGAAAAGAACAGGGTGGCTAATCAGAACTTTGGAAGACAGAAATAGTGCCAATGGTAACATCATTCATATCACTTGTGCTCTCTCGTTTAGAATTTTGTTCAGTGTTGACGGCTCCGTCGATCAAGGCAAGATATAATAAAAACACTTAAGGCCTTCTCCTTAATCTTTTAAGCGTTTGCTCATATATCCTTTACTACAACTTGTGGGTATTTTATACCAGGTTGTCACCACAGATAACGGGACTGGAAAAGGTACAAAGATCGATTATAATTCACACAGAGTCAATAAATCATTTAAACTACCGAGAACGAGTCAAATTTCTAGGAATATTATCTGTGGAAAATACTTGAGGACCTTGTTCCAAATCTAAACACTGATCTAACAACGTGAGAGATATGGGAGACAGTGTAAAATACTTTTGAAAGCTGAAAAGCCAAGGTAACAATAGGAGAACACATTCAACATGCAAGGTCCAAGACTATTCACCCACTGCACTGCCAGCAGCTATCAGAAATATTGCCGGAAGAAGTGGATGGATAGATAGAAATGGGTGGTGAGTGAAAGGAGGGTGGATATGTGGAGAGTGCTGGAGACACTGGAAATGGGGAAGAATTTAAAGAGTAGGAGAATTGACAAACAGAAAGTGAAAAAAAAAAAAATGAGAACTGGGAGAAGTTGAGAACTTTGAGAAAAATGGGGAAAAATAATAACCATGAGAACAGTGAAAAAAAACAGTGAAATGCAAAATAATGGGAAGAGTATAAAAAAATGAAATAAATAAAAAAAATAGAATGGGACGAAATGATGAAAACAGTGAAAATGAAAATAGCTGTAACTTGGAAGCATAAGGCGCAGGATAAACCAGAAGAGCCGAGAGTAACGGAGAATCTAAGAGGAAATTTGATGAGCTGAAATAAGGCGAGAGAAATTGGGGAGAGGAGGAGAAGGAAGGAAACAAGAGAATGGAAGGTTGAGTATCAGTTGAATGTAGGAGCTGTACATTAACATGTCACACACACACACACACACACACACACACACACACACACACACACACACACACACACACACACACACACACACACACACACACACACACACACACACACACACACACTCGCCTATACGTGGTTGCGGGGGGTCGATTCACAGCTCCTGACTCCACCTCTTCTCTGGTCGCTACTAGATCCCCTCTCTCCTGGCTACAAAAGCCTTGACGTGCCTCTTCTTTAAGCTACGTATGGATGCTGCCTCTATCACTTCACTCTCCAGATTGTTCCACTTCCTGACAACTCTAAGGCTGAAGAGATACTTCCTACCATTCCTCTGACTCATCTGAGCTTTCATCTTTAAGTTCTGTCCTCTTGTACCTATTTATCATCTCTGAAAATTCTGTCCATGTTCTCCTTGTCAATTTCTCTCACTAGTTTCATATGTTGCTGCCACATCCCCTTAGTCTTCCTGTCCTCCAGTGTCATCAGATTGAAGTCCCTTAACCTCTCCTCGTAGGACATACCCCTTAGCTCCGTGACAAGTCTTCTCCAATTTCATGATGTGCTTGACCAAATGTGGGTTCATTACTGGTGTTCCGTACTCCAGTATTCCTGCCGTACACGGTGTACAGTGTCGTGAATGACTTTAGATGTCGAAACGCTATTGTTAGATTTGCCAGACGCGCATTTGCTGCAGTAATTATTTGTTTGATGTGCGCCTCAGGGAATATGCTCGGTATGATGCTCACCCTAAGATCCTTCTCCTTGAGTGAGGTTTGCATCCTTTGACCCCCCTGTCCTGTACTCCAGCTGTAGTCTTTTTCTTTCCCCAAACCTGTAGCCTGTCC